ATTTTTTTGATTTGTAGAGGGGTGGGAAGGCTGATTTTGGCCCAATGTCCTAAAAAATGAATTTATACAACTACTCAGGCAGTGCCTACACACCTCTTTGTTGATGCCACTGTCAACACACTCATAGTTTCCAAAGCCTTGGATGCTACGATGTAGGTAGCAATCCAGCAAATAATGAAGTTCCCAACAGCTTGAAGGCGAACAAAATGCTTGCAGATGTGAAAGAACACTGGGAAATGTTTCAAAAAACAGTTTGTTGTCTATAAATGATATTTCATTGTTAGGAGAATGAGAGCTGTCCGAAAGCCTTTTGCTAAGAGCCGCCATGTTTTCAAATAACTAGCGAGGGTCACGTGGTTAGACTTAAACCTCCTTCCCAGGTATTTCTGCTTTCTGTAAACAAACGTGGCAGCCTACTGGAGAATCAAAACCAAAACTTTTTTCAAAGTATCCTGTTGAAAATGTTTTGTCTAGACTGGAAAAATCAACGTGATGTCTTTTCCATACGTACAAGGTCACAGCGAGGCCATATTGTGATAATATCTGCTCAACAATCAAAGAATTTCACACATTGAAGTGGCAACCTTTCCTGAAGAAGCTGCGTTGGATTGGATGTGCATCTCGCACCTTTCGTCGTTTAATCTAATTGCCTTTACAAAAGCTTCAACTGTGATCAAACGTTCTGTTGGATTTGAATTTGGAGTAACACGCTCTTGCGAGACATTTTCATCTCGTCGTCTCGTTTTTGATGCAGAAGTCTCGACTGCCAATTTTCTCTCGAGCTCTTGATCGTGTGTTTTCTTTCTTCAAGTACTGGTATGTCTAAAGAGAAATCTGAATATGTTGTTGTTGATTGGGGAACTTGGGGAATCAATGTCCAGTTATCCACAAAGATCGTGGTCAAAGATCAACTCGGTGCTATAAAATAAGGAGATGCATGCTCGCTTCAGGGAATCAATCCAGTGACCAAGAGACCAGTCATGTTCGAAGGCGAAGTATTGGGAGTGTTTGGTGAGTACATGTAAAATTTAATTTTCCTTTTGTTTTTCATTTGAAAGGTGTTTGATGTCCGCTTCAATCCCTTTCCCCAAACTTGAAATAAGTGCGCAAATGCATGTGACTTGAGAGCGTGACAGAAATGCTGAGAAAAAAGCGTGTGAGGCCGAATCCTCTGAATTACAAGTCTTTTTCACGTAACGTCCCTTATTATAAAGCTTTGTTAATGGTACGGGTTTAGTTCCTTGTCTTTTCTGGGGTCTCCACAATCACATGAATTCACGGTGATCCCGTGAATACATGAACTGGACTCAAAAATGGCGGCAAATATCGTGGTCAATCTTGAAGCAGCTAATTACTGCAGAATTCCTGTTTCATTTTCTGTCAAAATGATTTTATTATTGGACAGAGAGATCAAATTTAAAACGCATTCAGCTTATCTGACTTGTTTAGAATTTGACCATTTTTTCTGGTGATTTCCTTTGATCGTTCATTTGACTGAGTGGTAGACTGCTATCTCTTTTTCAAATGTAGTTTGGTCTGACAAAAAACATTGATGGGCAGTTTCACTGATTGGCCTCTTTGTAACAAAAAATAAGGTGCCCAAAGACCTTCAGACTAGTTGCACAATGTACATGAGATAAATAAGAAATAATAGATAATAAACAACTGACATCATGTGAAGGTTTCAGTTATTTATTCATGGCAGCTATTTTCAGCAACAATAAACAACTGACATCATGTGACGGTTTTATTTATTTATTCATGGCAGCTATTTTCAAAGCAGAGTGGAGTGAATACAAATTTCTTGAAGATGACTAAATAAACAAGCCAGGAGGCATCTAGTTACCTTATGAAATTGAAAGAGTACTGCCCTTCTTTCTCACTGTGTTTTTTAATGGGATCATGGTGGGTCCATGTCAGTTTTTAATATTATTACAGTCAAAGCTCTTCTAAACGACCACCTCGGAAATTCAAAAAAGTGGTCATAAGTAGAGCTATTAATGGAGTATGTATACTCCATTAAGGGATATAAATCATCACGTTGTTCAATGAATTGAAATTTTGCTGGTGAAGTTAAACAATTGATTTGCTTTGTAGGATCAAAAAGAGATGCTGAAAAAATGGTGACTTCTCTGGTTAGTCCTGCAGTCAAAGATGCAGAACAAGAGCCCAATATTGATGTGCCACACCCATGCTGGGAGTCAAGACCTTCCAAGAAAAAGCTTGAGGATTTAGAGAATACTCAACAGTGCAAAGAGCTGAGAAGAAAAAAGGCCAGAAAAGAGCCCAGAGAGAAAGATCAAAATCTCAAAAAGCCGTTGAGCAAACAAAAACAAACAGACCAGGAACCAGAGGTGTCTCGTAAAAAGAAAAGTGTGTCTAAGAGGAAGGTTGCTGATGCTAAAGATACCCAGGATCGTGGATTTCTTTCAGCAGCAAGTACTCAAAGGGTGCAGAATCTACTGGAGCGAAGGCAGCATGTGAATTGGAAACCTGAAGTAGTTGAGATTGAAGAAGGGGAAGACGAAAATAGGACCAACCAACCTGCCAGTTCACTGCAGCCCAAGTCAAAACCCCAGCCATCTGGCATACATTTACATGTAGCGCAGTCAGCTGTTCCAGAAGAGCCAGTCCAGATCAATTCAGAACCACAACCACGTCCAATAAATGTGTTAAAGTCAACAGACTCTGTCTCTAACTTGCAATCACAGCCTGCAGATACATTTCAGCAGAGAGATGTCCCCAACTTAATGCACCAACTTTTAGCAGACAAACAGTCTAATGGGTCAGAGAGTACTCCATTCCCACCACAGCAGTCATCAAACCTTAGCATTGCAACACGGTCCCCCTCTTCATCTCATTACAAATCAGCTTCACCTGTCAATCCAGCCTCAAGATTTCACTTCTCTTCAACACCACTGGGATCATCTCACTCAGCTTTAAGAGGTCGTCCTTTACCGAGCCATCTTTCCATGTCCAGTCCTCAACAGTTCATGAATTCCAGTGAAGTTTTGTCCTACCTGTTATCCCACAGCAAGAGTTCTCCATTTCTCAAAGTTTAAGCCATTGTTCTGACTATAATGTTTCAGATTTGGAAGGTCCTATTACTTATTCACCTCGTAACAGCAACTTGCATCAGTTGCAAACAGTACGAGGCCATATCTCCAGAGATGTCAGCTGGCACAGGACATCATCATTTTCTGAAGATGTCAACACCTCTTGCCCAAGTTGTCAACCTTTGCTGCAGTCACTCAGTAATCCACTTAGCAGTCTGGAAGCTGAAGTAGAGAAATTGAGGAGGAAGCAAAGGAAGGTATGGAAATTCATAATATCAGTCAAGGACCTTTTTAAGGGCTCATTAACTGATCTTTTTAATCCTTTGCTAAGGAAAATTTATCCTCACATATAACCTTGTCATTTTTAACTTGGAAAATATTATTTTCCAAGTGTCAGTGGTGAAGCAATTTCACTCC